GGAGGTTGCAGTGAGCCAAGATGACACCATTGTACTCCAGCCTAGGCAACAAGAGTAAAACTCCACTTCAAAAGAAAAGAAATTATACTCATTACACCTGTCATCACTTCTCTTCTACATCATGCTGAGAATTAAAAAGAACTCATCATATTGTTGTGGCTCAGAAAATTTTCTGTGTTCTTATCTTTGTATTTTAACAATTGATTAAGGCTTTGGACACCTGAGCAAAGTATAGAACATATCCAACCCAACCTCTGCCTCCCAAGAGCTTACTTCCTGAAGAAGAAAGTTTTCTCCACATGGTAAAGAGGAAGATGAGCTTTCTTACTTGTTAAGCGCTCTGCAATGTAGAATGTAGATGTTAGAGTTGGTCAGTGGAAGAGCAGAAGGGATATGTGCTACTGTTAGGACCTGGTTTAAGTTTTAATTCATTACGAAAGGCAGTACTATTACAGATTGTTAACATAGTTATGCTAGATCTAACCATAGTACATTAAGATAGAAACAAATATTTTATTTTGTCTTGTATAATCAAGACCTCAAATCATGATTTAATTTGTTAGCCGTTATATGTACAATTACTATTCAAACTTGATCTAAAAAATAACATTAGAAATAACAGATAACACTGAATTCATTTAAAAGTAGACATTTAAAATAGTATAGTTCACTTTTTTTCTTTTTTTTAAGAGGCAGGATCTCCCTATGTTGCCCAGGCTGGTCTCAAACTCTTGGGATTCTCCTGCCTCTGCCTTCCAAAGTGCTGGGATTACAGGCGTGAGCCACACCACACCCGGCCCTTAAAATAGTATAGTATACTATCTACTAAACTAGATTGTGTTTAAAAGTCATTTGGCCCTATCATGAAACAAGTTTGGGGATTTGTTTTTAAGTGAAAACAGCTATCCATAGAAGTGAGAAGCCAGATAGAATAGCAGTTGTTTTCTTTTGTGAGCTTTCTCCTTATTCTTCTTCTGAGAACTTCATTGAGCACATCTTAAGGGTCAGGCACTGGGCTTCTTGCTCTCCTCAGCTTAGCCTCTTGTCACCTGCAGAGCAGTGTCACTTCACTCTGTCCCCTGATTGCTCAAGAGGAATCGTGTGTGTGTGCACGTGTGTGCATGTATGTGTGTGCGTGTAATCTGCCAGTTTTGGAATGTCTGCTTCCCATTCAAAAGTGCTTAGGACATGGTGAAAGCCACATCAGCAGGGGTGAAGGGAGCCATGCAGGGCTCCCAGGCTTCTGGTTTGTGGCCTCTGGATGAAGGTGTGGCCCCTGGTATGATACAAGCCCTGCTGGGAACTCTAACACATTGGACAGTTAGCAGCCATTGATGCCTCTGCATGGCTTGTTTTTGTGCTTCTCCCCAGTACTAGCTGCTCCCAAGGTTTCAAACTAGGAGCAATGTGAAGTGGAAAGTATAAAGACAGAGAAGTCTGGGAAGGGTAAAGCAGACCTGGTGGGGAAGACCCCAAAAATTGCAGCTGCAGAGTCAAGAGGAGAACTTTAGCAGTCATACTGATCATCTAGTGTGTGCAGCGCATGCCACTGATACCTGAAGTACAGAGAATGGTAGGACATGGTCTCTGATACTATAGACCTTAAAGTTTAACAGGAGGGAGAGAGATGCATGAGTGTGCACGGCAGCATGAGAATGGATGATGATTTCAACACTTAAATGTTTCCTGAAGACATACGGTATGCCTGGACCTCTCAAGACATCCTGATAGACAAAACACACATAATCTCTGCCTGTAAAGATGTTACAGTCTAGCAGGAGAGCTGGCAGTTTTCAACTGTAGAAGTACCATCATGCATCACTTAAGAAGCAAACTGAGAAATGCGTCCCTGGACACGTGCAGCCACCCTAGAGTGTACCCATGCAAACCTAGATGGTGTAGCCTAACTACACACCTAGGCGGTATGGTGTGGCTTTTTGCTTCTAGGCTACAAACCTGTGCAGCGTGTTACTGTGCTGAATACTGTAGGCAGTTGCAACGCAGTATCTGTGCATGTAAACATAGAAAAGGAACAGTTACAGTATGCTATTGTAATCTTATGGGACCACTGTCATGTATGTTTATTGTTAGCCAAATTGTCAGTATGCGTGCGTGACTATGTATTTAGGAACAATGATAATAAATGCTACAAAGGAACTATGGAGACTACGGTAGATAATAGGGACACCTCACTTACTCATGGGGAATCAGAAAAAGCTTCCCTGAAAAATTACAACTAAGCTGAGATTTGAAGAATAATGAGGATGGGTGGGAGGGGTTTTAATGAGGCCAAGGAGGTTGTAAGGGTGTTGCTAGAGGAGGGAGAAAATCTGAGAAGGCTCTGAGGCAGGGAAGCTCTTGGATATTTGTGAAGCTGGGAGGATTAGAAGGATAGGGTTATCAGGGTGTATCTAGTGAGGGCAGAGCAAGCCAGAAGAGTAAGCAGAGAGCAGGTTGTGCAGGACTTGTAGACCTTCCTGGGATGTCTGACTTCATCCTAAGACTGAGCTGCCAGTCTAGAGCTTTAAACAGGGTGGGAGGGGCATGCCAGCTACAGCGTGGCACATACAGTTAGAGGGGCTGCCCTGTAAGCAGAGGCTGGTTAGCAAATTCCCAATAACCCAGCAAAACTTAGAGGTGTTGGCTTATGAGCTATGTGAGGTGACAGTGGAACTAGGAGGAAGTGGTGGCTTTTGAGGAATGGGCTGGATGGGCCTTGATATTGAATTGGATTGAAAAGAGGGGGAAGTGTGGAAAACAATGCAGGGCTCTGCTGTCAGCTAGCCGATGGTCCACTTACCAAGGTAGGGAGCACCGGACGGGAACCAGGATAGGGGAATGGATGGAAGTTTTTGTAGTAGATGAGTAGCGTTTCAGATGTGAAATGGGCAGGAAGGTCAGTGGGCCGGGTTCTTGGAAGAAGGGACTGGGATCGGAATCACAGGCATCTGGTGAGTACAAAGGCCACAGAGTCCCCAGCATGAGTGTGACAGTGAGAAGCAGCCGGGAGCAAGCCCTCGGGGGAGCCCTGGCTCACTGCATTCTCCCAGCAGCAAGTGCAGAGCAGTGTTGCTGACCAAGGCTCTCACGCTGTCCGCTGCACAATCACCAAACTTTCCAGGCCAGTACATTTTATTTTTATTAATACAACTTAAAGCCAGAAACATACCCAGCCCTCATTGTTTTCCATAAGAGCATCTACCAAACCCAAATGACATTCCTACCCCTAAACCTCATCACAGTAGTTACATTTTAATACGCTATGTCTACTAACAAGCAAATGCATTGCCCTCCTCCAATACAATAAAGTCTCCCCGATGGGCATGTCACAATGTACCCCCAACTATACTGGGTGATTGCTTTTGTCCATATATTTTGTCCATATATATTTGTCCATATATTTTGTGCATATATTTCATCGTTAAAATGTTAAAAAAAAATTTAAATTTCTCTCTCCCTTAACTTTTTTTGCCTCTGTACAACTGGTTAATGAGTCTAAATCACTAACAACTGAGTATAAGGAGCTTGGAAGATACTCCTTTCTGACTCCCACATCAGAATAGTGTCTGGGTCACCACCGGGCTCAGCATTGGGTGGAAAACCTGGAGGGAAGAGCTGTGGAGACCCATCCTGACCCTGGGTGAAGAAAAACATGGATATTCCAACTCTGGCAATCCAGGGTTAGAATATCCTAGATTCTACAACCTCCATAACTATTCATCCTCCTCCCCTTCTCTCCTGGGGGCAATGAATAGTTAACTGAGACACTGCTGGTCTCAGGAAGATTTAGCAGGAATGAAGGTCAGTGAATACATCGTGTTGTTTGGTGACTTCTTAAATCTGATGGTACATTAGCCAGAGATGCTTACAGTGTATTTTATAATAAACTTTGGTTAATGGACTAACATGAAGCCCCTAAGTCTTTTGCACTGTTAGTCCTTGGGTACAATGCCAAATACATCAGGTAGGTTCAACAGAATCGAGGAACACCATGAAATCCTACGTCGTTAGATGGGCACAAACTATGCTTAATAGCACAAAATACCCAACACCTGCCGACACTCTGTGACAAGAACTTAGTATTCTATAGGATTGAAGATGTGATGGCTGGAAGTCTCCTTCTTCCAAAGCAAACACCCACCAGAATCCTTCACAAAAGCCCACAACGAGGTTGAGCCCTGAGTTGGGTCCTCTTCTGTGACTAGAATCGGTGGAGTGAATCATTGACTGCCTGCTCCAGTCATTTTAAACGTGGTACAGCACGTTTTTAAACTGATATCTCAAGAACTGATGGAAAAGTCGAATGCAAATGTGTTCTGCTTTGTTTTCATTTGTAGTCATAATAGAAAAAAATTTTAATAAGTCCCCAAATTATTCTCCCTTAATGTGATTTAAATAATAAATTCATAAGATTGAATTGATTTGTTTATAGACACTTAATTGTAGAAAAATGACATTTTTTGTTGTTTACACCATCAAATCCAATCAAGCCAAACAAGATGGTTAACTAAAATGATTAATGAATGCAGCATTAGCTGATGGCTTTAAATTTAGCATGTGCTACTGATGTCAGGGTTGATTAGTTCTCTATCTAAAACTGATGCTATTAAAAGCTTTGAGCAATTTAGATGTTGTCATTGAGTAAAATTTCAGTGGGGTGAGATAAATTCTATCAGGATTAATTCTGCCATGGTGCAGCATGTGCACAGATGTTGAATAGAGAGTGGGCCTTTTCTGATGGGACAAGAAGAAGGAATGAAAGGCAGAGGGGCCACAAGGTGGCATCAATCTCAGGAAAAGTAAAGAAGCTTGGAATTAAAAAAAAAAAAAAAAACTCATCTTTGCACAAGGATTCCCAAATGGCATACAAGTAGGAATATTGATCATTTCAGCTTCAGAACTTTTCAAGAAGTGGGAAAAAATAAATGAAGGGGAGGCAAGAGGTTAATATAGTACCATGCTTTAGGAACTCCTCTGAAAATGAATCCATGGGGAAATCATTGTAGTCAGTGGTGGAGACCAACATTTTTATTAATAAGATAAAACGAAAGAGTGGTAACGCAAAGGCGATCATTGGATGGAATGATTACGTGTCACGAGCGCTCGAGGACCTAGAAAGCAAACCGGAGTGATTATGCCAATCAGATTGCAAGGTCGGAGACCTGCTAAAAGGTTAGAAAGAATCCAATCCTGGGGCTCTCAGACAGGACTTGGGGAAATCAGGTTGCTGCAAGCCGCTGTGACTTGAGGAAGGTGTTCAATGGGGGACCTTAAACCATTTCCAACATCTGTGCCTTTGAAATATTTTATTATTGATCCAAATATCCCCAAGACATTTTAAATGGAAGGGAAAATGTACTATAGCAGACCCAAATTCTATGGATGTTTAGACCCTATCCCCGTCTAGGGATGCGGAGGAGGTGAATCTGTCAGTGGATTAGATCAGACTAGAAGGTTCTGGTGATTAGTGCAGCTGGGCCATCTCAAAGAAAAAGGCAGCAAATACTTTGGTTCCCTCTATGTAGTTCCACCTAAGAAGACGAAAAACAAAATTTTGTTAAAATTTCCATTCAAATGAAGGAGGAAAAAATATTCTGTCATTTAGACAGGAAGATTTGATGTTATAAATTCCATCTAAATTATTTAACATAATTCTGAGATCCCAGTATGAAAGGCACTAAGTTCCATGTGAAAATGCCATTATTATTACTAAGAAGATGAGAATCACTCATAGACTCAAATCCAAAGGTCCATTTTCCTTGATTTCTTATCATTGATATGACATGGATCTCAAAGTCAAACATTGTCTTGTTTCTTGCTAGTCTGGGAGGCTTAGGAGATATTAGTATCTGCCAATAGCACATATAGCAAACATTCCTAAATAGCCTTTTCTGTTTTGCACTGAACATTTGTGTTTCCCCAAACTCCTATGTTGAAGCCCTAACCACCCAATGTATCTGTATTTGGAGAACAAGGCTGGAGGAGATGATAAGGATTAAATGAGGTCAAAATGGGGGTCCTAATCCCATGGGGCTGGTGCCCTTATAAAAAGAGAAGGAGACACCAGAGCCCCCTAACCCCACCATGTGAGCACAGGGACAGCCAGGAAGACAGCCCGCACCCACCAGGAACCAAAGAGGCTGGCACCGATCTAGGGCGTCCAGGCTCCAGAACTGTGAGGAATCAATGTGTGTTGTTTAAGCCCCCAGCCTGTATGATTTTTCATTCTTGCATACATTGAACAGGAGCTCACCCACGTGTAGAAGGGGTGTGTGCAGTGAAGGAAGAAAACAGAGGCACATTGCACAGGCATCAGCTGACCTGTTGATCTTCTCATTCTGTGAGTGTTCTCCATCATCAACAGCTCCCAGCGGAATCATGACCACGCTCTTGTGAACAATCTCCTGGAACATTTTGGCAATTGGAATGGTGGATCCATCCCGTATCATATCTGGGTCTGTTCCAAACACTGAAACAGGAAAAGAAGGCATTTGGATCGAATAAGGCCAAGACCACCCCCAGTAAGCTACTCAAGGGCAGTGCCACTTTACCTTCCTCTTTCTTTTTCCTTATTAATCTTTCTTTTTTACTGTTAGATTTGGTGCCTGGGGTAAGGAATCCTTTTGATATCATGCAATTTATATTCTAATATAGATGCTAGAGTCAAGAAGAAAATATCTTCCTCACAATTACCTACTTTAGAAAATATTTTAGGTTCAGGCATGGTGGGTCATGCCTGTAATCCCAGCACTTTGGGAGGCTGAGGTGGGTGGATCGCTTGGGGTCAGGAGTTCGAGACCATCCTGGCCAACATGGTGAAACCCTGTCTCTACTAAAAATACAAAAAATTAGCTGGGCATGGTGGCGCGTCCTTGTGATCCCAGCTACTCAGGAGGCTGAAGCAGGAGAATTGCTTGAACCCAGGAGGTGGAGGTTGCGGTGAGCCGAGATAGCGCCATTGCACTCCAGCCTGGGTAACAAGAGCGAAACTCCATCTCAAAAAAAAAAAAAAAAAAAAAAAAAAAAA